TATGACACTGATTTCCTCCTTTTTTACTCAGTCTCAAAAGTATGACGCTGATTTCCTCCTTCTCTACTCAGTCTCAAAAGTCTGACGCTGATTTCCTCCTTCTCTACTCAGTCTCAAAAGTATGACACTGATTTCCTCCTTCTCTACTCAGTCTCAAAAGTATGACACTGATTTACTCCTTCTCTACTCAGTCTCAAAAATCTGACAGTGATTTCCTCCTTCTCTACTCAGTCTCAAAAGTGTGACACTGATTTCCTCCTTATCTACTCAGTCTCAAATGTATGACACTGATTTCCTAATCTAGTCAGTCGCAAATGTCTGACACTGATTTCCTCCTTATCTACTCAGTCTCAAAAGTATGACACTGATTTCCTCCTTCTCTACTCAGTCTCAAAAGTATGACGCTGATTTCCTAATCTAGTAAGTCTCAAAAAAGTCTCACTGATAGCAAAAGGTGTTTACCACGATTGCATTTAAAACATGTCTTAGTGCTTTCCCGAAATCTTCCCCCCCCCCCTCCCTACCCTTCCCTCCTCCGAGGATGACGTCACATGACTACAATATTACTGAAGGTAGTAAGAGCGGGTTTCCCCGGCTGTCTAAGTGAACTGGGCCTAATCTCAACCCACCTACGTCTCACGAAAGACAGCAGCCTAGGTCTCAAGACTGCATGCAGCCTATCTACCATCCTCTAACATATTCGACTACCTGTTTATGGGAAGATCTTGTGATAGAACCTATGTCTCTTTAGCTCTACAGAGAAAGCCAAATCTTTCAACACTGGAGTATACTGAGTGTAAGAGCAATAAATAATAACATTAATAGAATTATTACTAGAATTTTTCCAAATTGACCTTGACTCCCAGGTCGACAGAGCTGGGAACCGGGTGCAGTCCCGGGAAGTAAAGGCGGCCGACGTGATGTTAACCACTTCACTCACCTTGTGCCGATTGGTCTATACAAATATAGGTCTAGCCCTATATGCCCTATACGCCTAAAGGTGTGGAAAAGGGACCTTTACTTTACTTTTGCTGTCACTAGAATTACAAAAACAATTGTGTAATATAAAATGAAATGACCCCGTATTGTTTCCTAGTTCACACAGGGCCTGTCATTCATAAATTTTACACCCATTGGTGCAGAACCAGGCAATCTCTCTCGCTGTTCATTTCCCAACACTCCTGCATACCCAGTAGAAAATATTGAAAGTACTACCCGGGACAACGCCTCGCAAGTGACCCCCCAAAAAAAAACCAGAAATGTAGCATACAAACATTACAAAGTGGCATGCCTGTCAAAGTCAAATGTGAAGAGCACAAACAAGCAAACGTAATCAATAAAGATACGGTTAGGGTCGGATTTAGACCTGATGAGGCCCTAAACATCTAAACCCTGAGGCCTCTATTATTTACAATTACATCAACCAATCTCTGAAAACTCTACAAGGTACGTCCTTTAAATATATGGATGCCAGAAATGTACTGTCTATTTAATGTTTAGTGAAAGAAATCGCAAATAATGTGTCTGTAAAGTCACATAAATTGTATTCTTTAAGTTATGAAAGTATCTATTTAAAATACATTTGTGAATTTAAAAAGAGGACTTTCTAGAGGCCCCTGCATAATGTGCAACAGGGAGTAACATGGTCATTGTTTTCTTTACACGTTTTTTTAAAAATGCTATATATACCATGGACTGTGGATAATAACAATAATAATAATAATAATAATAATAAAGTTTGCGTGTGCTAGATGAGTGTAAGAAAGAACCGTGTCTAAGATAGGCCTTCTGTCTTTTTTATGACTCTTTTAAAATAAAGTTGTGTTCGTTCTTCGTTCGTCTGCGCTTTATCCCCAACTAGAGCGAAGGCCCTGAACCAACTCACGCCAATGTGTCCTGCATTTCCAGAAAAGGATGAAATTGACCTGAGCTCGTAACAGTGACATGTAAGCGAACGAGACCAAGGCCGCGATCCGATCGAAACCGTCCGGGTCTTCTTACAAAAGGAAGGTTGTTGCTGCATGACATATCCTGACCCCCACACGGCGGCGCATACAATGTATAAGCTACAGACTGTGCGGTCTGAACTACAGAAACATCTAGATACAGTCCAGACTTGGCAACATGTGACTTTTCGTTTGTTTGGCCCATGGAAAGAAAATCTGCAGGGTCAGAGACTTGAAGATGACAATGTGGAGATATCGATGGTTACTGGCCACATCCAAAAGCTTCTTTCTGCCTGGCGGGCAGTCAGAATCGTGTGGATTGCTGGAGTACGTGTGTGGCAATGCAAGCAGACTGTGTCCGGAAACAGGACACATCACACTTTAGGTCCGGCCACTTGTAAGAAACGTATTGATGCAGTTAACGAATTCCCCTTGTAATATAGTTACATCTGACTGGCTGTTTGTTGTGACAGTAGTCAGTGTACTGTGTTGACAAACATATTGTGAGTTCTCTGTGAGAAGTCGGCCACTTTTGGATATGTTCGTTTGCTAGCAAACTGATTATTTGAAACAGTTTGTTGAAAATATTGCCATTCTCTTTTTTTTCCCCACCTACATATCCTTACAATCACTGCAATACATCTTATAATTTGATTAAAACGTGCACACCAAAAATATCAATCAATGCAAAACTTAAGCGTGGTAGCATTGATAAAAGCAATAATTGAACATTGAAGTGACAAGAAGAAAATGCAAGAAAGCACACTCAAAAGAAGAAGAACATCAACAAAACATGTGGGTTGGGAAACGGGGGGTGTGGAAAAGGGGGTGAGTCTCCCCCTCCCCCCCCTCCCCCAGATCTGGGGTTTTATTTGACGCCTTGGGGCAATCTGCTTTTTTTTTAAATATATCTTTATATAAAAGTGATAAATGTTTCGTTTCGTAACTATAAATTTTGTACATTTTACCAATCTAGGGATTTGTTTTCTCTGTCTATGTGTTGCTTGGGTTTTTGTTTAGCGATGCTGGGTTTTTCAAAAAACATCCCATTGGCAGCCCTGCCGAACCTCGAAGGAAACCCAACTTAGTTGACTTGTAAAACATGCCTGTGGAAGAAAGTGTTGTCTCACAATGGGACACCCGAATCCACATGGGGTAAGTGGATAAATAATAGATTTACAAAAGTGAGATTTCCGCAGAGACAGAGACATTCAGTTTTCATATATGAAAAGCCAAATAATTTCAACATTAGAAGGTTCAAAGTCCACAGATGTAATATCTTTTGCTTGAAAATAAAAATGTACTCATATGAAAGAGACAGTACACAAACAAAGCATATGAATCAGGTTGATAGAAACTAGACGTTTGGACACCTTGAGTATCTCCCCCCCCCCCCCACCCCCCGCACCCCCACCCCCACCCCATCCCAAGAAAATTATAATAATTCTGAGTCATCCAAACAGCACAATTGGTATCGGATCTGGCAAAACTGTAACACCATCACGTTAGCAGACGATAAATAATCCCGCCGCTTTTTTATTTTTTTAGCTAGTAAAATTTGCAGAGTTACGTATGCAGCAAAGCGCCAAGTGTTGACATTAATTCTGTATCAGACTCTGAAAAGTGCTCTTAAGACAATTAATTTAATGGGATAGGTTTACGAGGATAACCCCTCACATTCCTAAAGTTTTCCTTGTGTCAACGCCTCTGGTATGAATGCACAGTAACATTCAGTTTCCAAATCAGAAAATGCCAGATTGATATAAATTTGAAAAAAAAATATTAGGAGATGATTTAAAAATGAAATGCAGCCAAGATAAAACGAGTAAAACATCAAACAAACATGTGAATTCACAGTAATATTCAGTATCTAGATAACTTCAACACATACAGAATTGTATCTCGAAAATGAAAGCAAGTGCATTAAAGAAGAGGAAAACACCGATTATAAATTCATACTTTGTGAAAGAAAAAAATCACTTCATTTGCCTCATCACGCCAGGCTGTCACTTCGCTGCATTCAAAGAAAAGTAATTAAGTCAGAATTCCTAAACAAAAACATTTAGTCAGAATTCCTAAACAAACAAATTTATGAGTTTCAAAATATACTGTTTGTTGTGATTTTGCCTAATGCTAGCGAGGGAAATATCAGGACACTTATGTAACCCCCATAAACCTGTCGATTTTATTTTTATATTAGGAACGCGTGGATTCAAACCACTACAGTCATGTCTATATGTGTGTCTACGTTCGAGGCAGCCAGAAGAGCAAGAATTCTGCATCTCCCTCGACAAATGAAGCTGTAAAACAGAAAGTGAAGAAAAAGAAAAAGAGTAGAACAGAGTCGTCCGTAAAAAGATTGTTATATAGAGAACTTTCCAGTCTAATGATGTATTCAACAGCACGGGTGCCATTAATCCAATAAGTTTATCTATTCCATCACATATTTTTTTTTCCTGTTTCGATTCACGACTTTATAAATGAAAGTAGACATAGGCAAGAGGAAAAACACTGAAAATATTAACACTTTGAATTAGCTGATCTATGTGTGAATTATTACAGTGCATTTCACAGATAGATTTACAGCTGTTTAATTTGTTAGTTATTTATTACCTCCTGTCCCCCTTAGAATATTGTAAAACAAAAAGATAAAAACCGTCGGCATCTTTGTATGACAGGAACATCAAGGAGAACTGGCTCATAAGCAGCATCCTCTTCCGAAAAATGAGGTCTTACGGGTTCATAAAGCGCCATGATGGTAGAGAGAGAACAGTGATGGAGATAGCAGTTTCAGGAAGACGAGTCAGAGGCTGACCTACACAGGATACTAAAGATGCATCGACTGTGAAAGCACACATGGCCGGAGAATGTGCTAGAAAAGAGAGACGTTTAGACATGGCGTTAAAAGAGCGACGTTCAGTAAAGACATGCTGACTGATTGAGTGATTGACATTATAAAGTCGTAAAGATAAAAAGGTTGGGCGAAGAAACTGTTTATTGGCATTCTCGGTGTGACAGCTTTTTCATGAACGTTATGTCATTAAAAATACTTACGGAGGGAGCAATGGGCACTGCTTTCTCCTTCAGCGTGTCTGGTTTGGTGATCTTACTTGTGGAGTTCAAGTACTGCAGGGCCCGTAATGACTGGTCTTTGGATCGCTGGTCACCTGGACGCCGGACGTTCACTCCAAAAATGTCTTCGTGGAAGCGATTTGTATCCTAACAACAGATGACCACCAGATGTTAGACACATAACACACACACGCACGCACGCACGCACGCTCGCTCGCACGCACGCACGTAAATGAACCCAGTTGGACCCAGTTTATGTAGACTGCAGGTTTCTAGGTAAACTTTGGTACAGAAGATTCAAAGGGGCTTTTGGGATTTGTACACGGGGCATTTTTAGCTGAATAGGGGCTCTTAGAGTCACTGGATGCTAACTGCTCAGTATGCTGTCGTAGAGGGGTCTCACTTAACTTGCTCCCTCACTCGCTCGCTCAGCCACTCACTCAGTCGCTCGCTCAGCCACTCGCTCACTCGCTCGCTCAGCCACTCACTCACTCTCGCTTGCTTAATCATTCACTCATACTCTCAATTACTTATAAACTGAACAATCCAATACACCCACCACCACTAGATAAAGGGTTACTGCAAAAAAACTGTTAAAACCATGGGACGGAGTTTCTGGGAAATGTACCGGTTTGATTCTCATCCTTGTGTTGTCAATGCTGGGAGTGTAATTTTTTTTAAAAAGGGGAGGGAGATATTTTTTTTTTCAACTTCACTGTTTTGATCATTTTGTCACAATCAGGGCCAACCCATATAAAATGGCTAGCCGCCTGCCGTGAGTACTGCATAAACTATAAACTCTGAAGCTTCAGTACTGATTGATGTGTATCTCCGTAAAATTAGTTCTTTTGGATCACAAAATGAGCCCAAGGCCTTTAAGAGGACTAACGAACGAACGAACAAACTTCATTTTCAAAGGGTTACAAATTGGGCACGCAGGCCCGTCTGACATTCGGCCCTTATAAGCACTCGTTTTTCAGAGTACCAATGTGAGGACGTGAGAACGAGCTTGACTAGAGCTATACAAAGACTGTAATGATGGGTAAGGCTACTGAAAATGAATTAATCATCACCCTCAACTGCTTTGCCGACTGGCATTGGCGATCATACCTCTCCACTACCTGCAACAGCATGTCTCGGTTCGTGCATAACACCCTTCCATGTCATGACAAAAAGCCGTCAGGAATCTTCTCCTGTTGCCTTCCTCTGTCTCCCTTCCCACCAATTTGTTTCACTGGTCACATGTTCCAGTTTCGATCTTCTCATAATATGACCAAGCAATTATCATTGCTTGTTTCTGATTTCTCCGATGAATTGACTTTAAATCTTCGCCTCCTTCAAAATATTTGGGCTGCTCTTTTTGGCTGTCCAATGAATTCTAAGGATTCTCCGACACATCTGACGTCTGCAGGCATTGGTTTACCAGGTTAGTTGTCTCAGATTACAGATACAAAACGTTTCTAAATCTTATTTTGTTTTACTTACTCTTAACTTTGTCACAAATTTGCTAGCTTCCTCAGGAGAAATCTGCCCCTGCTCCTGCAGAACCACCTCCAGGGTCCTGGTGACGTCATGGGCCATGGACACATCGCCACAGACGTAGAAGTGACCGCCTTTCTTGACAATTAAATCATAGACAAGCGCACCGTTGCTCAGTAGAATGTCTTGTACGTACACCTGAGAACAAGACAAATCATCTTTGTCAGACATGAATGAGTGATTGAAACCAGGGGCGTCTTCACATACACAACTTTGGTCAAGTTGTCCAGATACATGTCTCCAAACAAATGTTATGGGCAGAGGTATTGAAAAAAAAAAGGGGGGGGGGGACGCTGCCTAACAACACCCCCCCCCCCTCCTCCCCCACCCACAAATTTCGTTTTATTGATTATAAATAAAAATAATGAAATTGATACGAAAGGGCCTTAAATGAGAACATTAAAAGTATGATACAATTACAATAACCCCGTCACTGTCTTCTAACCTGTTAATGTTATCGGTAATGATTGTAAGAGTGTTAAGCTCATGATACCGCGGTGAAGACGAACTCAATGACGTCATAATATTAGTTTAAAGATGGCCGCCACACTTTTGATGTGCGCCAAAGATCAGCAGCGTTCAGTTGAACGTTTCTTTTTATTAAAACATTTTTATTGTTGTTGTTTTGTTTAACCCATAGAAATTTATTGATTGTTGATGATCCAGTATGGTAAAGCATGCCTGTCAGTCCAGGAAGTATATGAGTGGAGTGGGAAGTTTTAAAACTAGCATCAAGAGATGGACGAAATGCTGTTTTAGTCAGGGAGTTATAACTACCTGAGAATCTAGCATCAAGTGTTGGACGAAAAGCTTTCTTAGTGAATGTGTAATCAGTACCAGAGAATCTGGCATCAGAACATAGGAGAAAAGCTGTCTCAGTGAATATGCAATCACTACAAGAGAATTTAGCATCAGAACATAGACGAAAAGCTGTCTTTGTGAATATGTAATCACCACCTGAGAATCTAGCATCAAGAGATGGATGTAAAGCTATCTCTCAGTGAGGGTATATTTAGGAGCTTAGACCGACCTATACAGATGTCCATTGCAGAAAACCTTAATTATGGAGATGGCTCCTGACTGGTTCAAATATAACAGAACGCTGAATGTTGAATCAAGAATTGACCTCACATCACTCAGGATATTCCCATAACCGCGCCGTCTTTATACTCAGTAGCAAGCACAGAGTTTAAATACTGATCGCAACAGTAACATGATTGTATGTCCATCGTCTGGTCGTTGACATGAGTGTTGACTATTACACAGATCTCTTGGTGACTCATTGCTGCAGTATTTTACTCAAACTGCGAGGATCTTTTTATACCTCAGCACTGTTCAGTCTCTCCCAAAAGCCCATTACAACATCTAGCGTGTCATGTAATAATTCCCCAACAGACGGTGCAGAACCAGCCAGTCTTTCTGTTCGTTTCCCAGCACACTGGTATTCTCTGGAGAAATTATCAAGAAAACGCCAACTAGCCGGAACCTCTGAAGCGATGCTGGCCATTCTGCTAGGAGCCTACCCTTCTCAACATGCTTTGTAACTGACAAAGAACTGGACTCTGATTTAACTATACTAACCTTGGGCACATCGGGTTCTCGAGACAGCGCTACGTAGTATGAGGACAGAACTCCAGCACTCTTCATTTCCTCAAGTTCATTCCCATAGATATTATCTTGGGTGATTGTGCGACAGCCGAAATACATGCTCATCTCACCGAATTTGTTCTGGTTGTCTTCTGTGAGTGAGAGAAACGCGTAACTGCTAACTCAACGCTCATCATGCACACACAGATCACAAATGATAGTGATGTATGTCTGTCGGTCTAGCTAGGGTGTCCGTGGAGTAAAGGGACGCTGTTCGACGCCTTGAGGCGTATTGTTTCTATAGTGTTAGACCTATATTATATAGATCAATGGGCACTCTGTGGGTGATGTAGTCAACATCTCACCGGCTGCCTTAAGACGGTCATCTTTGATGGGTATCAGAGGTGAGACGGTCAATTTTGATGGGTACCAGAAGTTTGACAGTCATCTTTGATGGGTACCGGAAGTGAGACGGTCAATTTTGGTGGGTACCGGAAGTGGGACGGTCGTCTTTAATGGTACAGGAAGTGGGACGGTCGTCTTTGATGGGTACCGGAAGTGGGACGGTCGTCTTTAATGGGTGTCGGAAGTGAGACCGTCATCTTTGATGGGTGTCAAGAGTGGGACAGTAAGCCTTTAGCTGTAATTACGAAGTCGCCATGTTCATCTGCACCATGATGTCACGTGATTAACACTCTTGACATCCTTAACAATAATAATGACAGTTGCCCGACGAGGCATGGTTATGGTAATGGCTATAACATTGGTAAGTGTTTCATTTGAAGTCCTCCCTTGTCCAGAAAAGAAAAAAAAAACACACACACACTCACAGACACACACAGACTGTAACTGAAACACCTAAATTGAGACACAAATTCAAATGGTAAGAGATACAATCAACGAAGAATTTACGAGACTAGGCCTGAAGCAAGTCGTACAGTTTATCAAAGAGAAACAATTTAGAAATTTTGGCCTGTCTGACAAGAATGTTCTAGTACTAACTGCCAAAGAAAGTTACGTTGAAAAAGAAAAATTGACACACAGCAACGGAAAGAACATGCAGGATATGGAACAACGGCATTAAAAACGGACATGAGGAAACACACAATTCATTGGAACGAGCACACAGAAATGAAGATCCATACAACTCCTCAACACTTAGATAAAGTAACTACAGGAAGTAAAGAAAAATATTCAGATTTTGACTCGATCTAATGTTGACTCAAATAATCTAATGACAACTCACACAACCCAATAGTGACTCACACAACCGAATAGTGACTCACACAACCGAATAGTGACTCACACAACCGAGTAGTGACTCAAACAACCAAATAGTAAATCACACAACCGAATAGTGACTCACACAACTCATCATTAAGGAACTTACGAGAGGGCACGTTGAGCATTTCCAGATCGATGCTTCTCTGTTGCCAGAAGGATCTGAAGGGGGCGATCCCAGTACCTGGACCCACCATGATGACTGGCAGCGATGGGTTTTCTGGCAGGTGGAAGGTGGGTGCTCTGTGTTGATTACAGATAGTGTATATGTTAGTACACTTTGCTTGAAGACATACGCATTTAGCCCAATGTTATTATTGAAGGCGCCGATCTGTTTGTGTTAATGTGAGAAGAGGAAAAATAGAACATGTGACCACTGGAAAGATCTGTTGAAGGAGGGATAGAGGAAGACAACGAGAGAATATTCTTGACCGTCTTGTTGCATGGCATGAAGGTGTGTCGGCACACGAACAGATACATGCTGCAGGAGATCGTGGATTATAGAGAGGCATAATCGCCCTCGCTAGTCGGCAAGGCACCTGATGATGATGATGATGATGATTCTGCTTATAACCCATACCATGTGATATTAGTAGCAATGTCCATCTAGAACGTTCTGCCTCTTCTCCGTATTGTCCATGCCGCGTGGCATTGGTAGTCATGTCTATCTTCAACCTTCTGTCATATTGTCGTATTGTCCCTGCCGTGTGGCGTTGGTAGTCATGTCTTTCTTCAACCTTCTGTCACACTGTTGTATTGTCCCTGCCGTGTGGCGTTGGTAGTCATGTCTTTCTTCAACCTTCTGTCAGAATGTCGTATTGCTCATGCCGTGTGGCGTTGGTAGTCATGTCTTTCTTCAACCTTCTGTCAGAATGTCGTATTGTCCCTGCCGTGTGGCGTTGGTAGTCATGTCTTTCTTCAACCTTCTGTCAGAATGTCGTATTGTCCCTGCCGTGTGGCGTTGGTAGTCATGTCTTTCTTCAACCTTCTGTCAGAATGTCGTATTGTCCCTGCCGTGTGGCGTTGGTAGTCATGTCTATCTTCAACCTTCTGTCAGAATGTCGTATTGTCCATGTCGCGTGGCGTTGGTAGTCATGTCTATCTTCAACCTTCTGTCACACTGTCGTATTGCCCATGCTACGTGGCGTTTGCAATCATGTCTCAGTCTGATGTAGGCAATCACTTTCCTTCGTGAGACGGTTTCTGTCAACACATCTTCATTACTCTTTTAAAATGTCTAGAGTATTCTCCTAATTCGTCTGTGAAACAACGTTTCTGCGGCCTACAACTAATTTGTCACTATTCGTCCAACTGTCCATGGTTCACTTCCGTATTTTTGTACTTATTGATAATTCTCTGTATCGCCTCAACTGTCAAAGAAATATTGTATACAATTTTCTTCACTTTGTAAAACATTGCCTTTGCTTGAGCTACTCTTATTCACCAACATTATGTAACAGCAACTGTCTTACGGTATTTAGGAAGTAGATTAGTTGTTACTTAATGGGTGGATCGTTTATAAAGACTTCAGATGAGAAAATGGGTAACTCACGCACGGACCATGCACGGTACCACAGTCCCTGGAGGGCAACGGCTGAGCCAACCAGAACAGACACCTTCGTGAAGTGGGCCAGCACCATCTAGAAGAGAGGAAACATGGTTGTACTGAGCATGACAAATATAATCAACTAGCTGTACCCGGCCACGCGTTGCTGTGGCATAGTTTGGCTAAATGGAAATGAAAGAAAATAGAAATCGCACGTGTCTAATACAATCATTGTCTGCTCAGATATAGAGATAGTCTTTTATTCCCGCCGCCACCACCCCCCCCCCCCACTACCACCACCACAACTAAATTCACCTACTACTCTCTCCCTCATCAAAGGTTTTTGGAAAAGAAAGACAATGGAAACCGCACGTGTCTAATCTAGTTAATGTCGCAATCATTCTCTGCACAGATATAGAGATAGTCTGGTTTTCCAACTTTAGAACACACACCTTATAATTGTGTCTTTATATTAGTGGTCGTTTAAATGGTGTTATTAGCACAGTAACAAAAATGGTTATTTGGTTATCACATGCTAAAGATGTTTGTATTTTTATAGGGGACGGAAGTAAAGCTACAACTGTAATATATAAACATATTAGGTAATGAGAACTTGAAAATCACGTGTAAAGCTCTTTAAGTTCTCTTAAATTTAAGTCATTACCCCCTCCCCTCCCCTCTTCCACCGATTACTGCTCTCTCCCTCTTCGAAGGATTTGAAAATCACTACCTGTTGATATTTTTTTGTTGCTGTAACTGACATTGACATCCCTGTCCATCTGGACTAAAATGGGGATCAGGAATTGTAATAGGTAGTGAATGGGGCTAGTGTAATATTTACCACATCATCCTTCAAGTACCAGTACAACTACTACCACGACCACCACCACAGTAGCTAAAATAATGTCACTGCTATCTGTGTTACCATCGGAGTAGACAGAGAGTCGTGAGCCAGAACTGTCGCCACAGACTGGCGAGGTTAGGATGTATAATTTCACTTCCCGACAGAAGAACGATATAACCTTACCGGCGGTCTTCACATGAGAGCACTATGGTGTAACAGCCCAACCACAACTATTACTGCTGCTGCTACTTTAAGTGGGTAAAGAAGTTACTGTGACTTAAAGCTCTCTCAGTTAATAGTCCCCCCCCCCCCCCCAACCCCCCCCCCCCCCCCCCTAAATTCACCGACAACTCTTTCCCTCATTTGGGAGGGAAAAAAACACCTGAAAAGCAAATGAACACAGGAAAAAAACACCATAATTAGGAAATGAACGCCATGGTAAACAGCACAGCTTAAAATTTCAACGCAGATGAAATAAATAAATTTAAATGGAGAAAAAAAATCTATGAAATTTCAGCGTAATCATGCAATCGGAAAGTTTAAAAATGCAATCATAAGTATGCGAAAAGGTCAAATTTAATTATCAAATGGTTTACCCATTTACTTGTCTTTTTAAGTATTAAGGCAACATGGCTAGTGCTGTCACCACGACAGAGCAGATGAAGATATTATTTTAGTCCGGGGTTAAAAAAAACATTAACTACTGCGGATTCGAACCCTGGTCTCCCGCACAGGAACCCAGTGTTCTAATCATTCGACCAAGCAGCCACTTAATCAGATAAACGAAAAAAGGACTTAACTATTTTAAGTGTCTGCAGTATCCCGATTATAACACAACTCAAAACAGCAGGCAATTGTTTTCTCATAGACAGATATTCTAAATATATTAATGAAACGTCACAACAACAAAAATCGCACGTGTCTAACATGGTTAATGTCGCAGTCAATGTCTGCGCAGACGTCGAGATAGTCCCTGATGCCCCCTCCCCCTCTTTTTCCCTACCAATCCATCGGCTACTTTTCAACTCATCGAAGGATGTTTGGAAAAAACAAAAATAGAAATCGTGTCTAATATAGTTATTGTGGCATTCACTGCCTGCACAGATATAGATATAGTCTTGCTTGCTGTACCACGACCTACTCTATGTTTTAGAGGAGGTGTTGGCTGCACGGCGCATGCGAAATTACTAACGTGGCTATAATTAGAGATCACTAAAGTTATAAATATTAGTTGCGAATATTATGGCATAAATTGTGGTCACATATCTCTAACAGTGACAGGTTGAACTTCAAACCACGATGGTTCAAAATCCGGTATCAAAACAAACATATCCTGAAAATTTCAGCTAAATCGGTTCAGTAGTTTCCGATTTTTATATATATAGAAGATAATTAAAGGCTCAATTAATTAACACGATCAACTTATCATTCATCTAAATGGGCTCTTCAATCAAAAAATCAAATCAAGATTCATCAACTCTAGACGCTTCCGTACGTGCCCTATCCACCTCCTTAGTAGCCAACGAAGAGCTCCTTCACTGCTGGTGCCAGTTGCATCCCGATGAAACGACTGTTATTCCCATTCGTGTTTAAAATCGTACTCCTAGCTAAATAATTATCTCCAGATGACAAAGCTTTCTTCTGTAGCATCGTTTGCCTGATCCCAGGAAGTCTTTACCACGTCTGCTTTAGCAAAATAGCTCACCGCCCAAAGGGACAGCAGCAGTTAATTTATCAGCCTGTTCATCACCACGCACATCCGAATACTCTTGAGCGCCCGCACATACACACACACAAACCCACAATAGGCATTTTATCTCTTAAAACCCAACCTACTCTAACAGCAAGAGAACAGTTTCTATTTACTGAAAGGCATTCTCTTCGAGTCAGTTGTAATAAAATCATGTTGTGCTGTACGGTTGTCCAGCCGTCGAAAAGTTCGCGTTACTGCCTCCACTGTCATTCTCATGTTGGATGTTGTGACGTTATACGCTAGCCTTTGGGAACAAACATTGAATTATCTTGTATACTTCGGTGACTGCCATTACCAAATGGGTAGCTTTGTCTCTGGTGTTTAAATTGGTAGATTTCGATAGGCATCTCATCATGTGCGTTAGTTTTACTTGCCTGACTATCATATCATACAGTGGCAATTTCTGAAGACGGAAGCTCAGCCCAGACGTTGCAGAATCAACTGTAACATTTTTTTTGGGGGGGAGGGGGGGGGGGCTGTTGCGGTTTTTCTTAGCTAAATTGCGTCCAGGAGTTTGCCATTGCTTCCTGGACGGTCGGCTTCTCGATACCACAGTCGAAACCAACGCAGGGCGCAAGACCCGTACCTGGCATCGAACCCATCACCCCGGCATTACGAAGCGCGTTCGCAATGCCTAAGCCACAGACGCCGATATATAAATGTATATATTTACACACACACACACACACATATATATATATATATATATATGTGTGTGTGTGTGTGCATATTATATATATATATATATATACACAAACACACACAAACACATATATATCCCTAGAAACTCTACAAGGAAGTCGAAGAGACGAAGATGTATTGGCTATGAAAACAACTAGGGCTGGAGAAGTATTGCGGAGAAAGATACTTTCAGGCGTGCCGAGACGGGAGCGACGTTCTCTAAAGGACATGATTGATGATGGGTGTGAGTGGTGCCAGCCACTGATATACAATCAGCATAAACAAAGAATGGGGGGGGGGGGCTGTCGTGGTTTGGAGGCCAGTGGCTCTCCTGCAGATTTGAAGGTCGTGGATTCAGGTCCCGGCGTTGCCTGAGATTTTCCAAAATAACCTGGACTTCCAAGTCGACCCAGCCTTAAATGGGTACGAGGTCAAGTCCTGGGAGGTAAAGTCGACCGGTCAGATGCTCACCTCAGTCACCAAGTGCGGATTGGTCTACAAATTGTAGGTCCCCCCCCCCCCTTTTTTCCATGGCTAATTTGCATGAAAGCGTGGAAAAGGGTCCTATACTTTGACTTGACTGAAACCAACAATACCTTGAGTTCTGAATTTGACAACAGCCACCGTAGCATGGATCTCGCCCGGGAACATCTGCGGCGAGGAGCTGATGCTGTAGTAGCGTTGCTGCAGCAGTGGTAGTTGTGTCAGCAGCAATGATGGCGAGACTTTGAGAGAGGAGAACTGGTCAAGGACTTCTAGGATGTTAGGGCTCAAGTCGTATTTCCACTCCTCGTATTCGCTGGCATTCTGAAACCATAGGGCATCCATTGTTTAAGGAGCCCTTTCTTTGTTGCAAATATTGGAATTTCCCTTTCATGTCAAAAACTAGACTCTGCATTTTGTGTCAAAACTAGAGTCTGCCTTTAATGTCAAAAACTAGACTCTGCATTTTGTGTCAAAACTAGAGTCTGCCTTTCATGTCAAAAACTAGACTCTGCATTTTGTGTCAAAACTAGAGTCTGCCTTTCATGTCAAAAACTAGACTCTACATTTTGTGTCAAAACTAGAGTCTGCCTTTCATGTCAAAAACTAGACTCTGCATTTTGTGTCAAAACTAGAGTCTGCCTTTTGTGTCAAAACTAGTCTGCCTTTTGTGTCAAAACTATTGTCTGCCTTTTGTGTCAAAACTAGAGTCTGCATTTCATGTAAAAACTAGAGTCTGCCTTTTGTGTCAAAACTAGAGTCTGCCTTTTGGGTCAAAACTAGAGTCTGCCTTTTGTGTCAAAACTAGAGTCTGCCTTTCATGTCAAAACTAGAGTCTGCCTTTTGTGTCAAAACCAGACTAACCATTTCATGTCAAAACTACAATCTCCATGTTTTGTCAAAACTGCTCTCATTTTATGTCAAGACTACAATCTCAGCGTTAGGTCAAAACTACTTTCTCATTTCATGTGAAACCTACAATTTCCTTTTGATGTCACAACTACAATGTCCCTTTCATACCAAAATACAGTATACCTCAAAAATGACCTTGGCTCCCAGGTCGACCCAGCCTTGAGTAGGTACCGGGTTCAGTCCCGGGAGTAAAGGCGGTCGGCGTGATGCTGACCACATCACCCATCTGATGCCGATTGGTCTATAAAAATATAGGTCTAGCCCTATATGCCTTATACGCTTAAAGGCGTGGGAAAGGGTTCTTTACTTATTATTATTATTTTATTTTTTTACAGTATCCCTTAAAACTAGTTAGCCTAAATCCAGTGTATGTATCACCATAATTTACCCTCTTATACGAAACAAATTAAAAAATTGTCTTGCAAACAGACGAAAACTATAATTCGTGCTTTCGTGTTCAATATATCCAGGGAAGTCGAAAAAAAATATTTATTTTTTTCTTTCTATTTAACATACATACGTCCCTATGTTTGTATCCAGATAAAGGTTTGCCCGCTTCAATGTTTAGTCATTCTGCCGTAATTGTGCTGTACTGGGAAACTGACTAGGTTCACGTCTCCGTTAGACTCCTCTATATGAAGTACATACATATGCTTGGTTGAAAATTGTGGCTTCGGGGTTGCCAACACACTTCCTAACTCCGACACACCCAGTTCATTCTAGGCGATTTGACAGAGGACCGCTTTGCTGTGTTGAAGTGTGTTGATTCTGTCTGACAATACTATGGAGCGTGGACCGGACAGGTAGCAGTGGCAAACTATTAAAACACAAATTTGCCTAGTTAAACCCCAAACACCCAAACAGATGCCAAGGTCGGTTATGAAAAGTCCTGTAGATGATGCGCTAGTGACATAATTAATTAATTAATTAATTAATTGTATTCTTACTGTTGCCAGGAGCTCGAGGCGTGTCTTGTCCATATCCCGGGTTGCCTGTGTGGCCAGCAGTTGAAGGAGAGCTTGGGAAGGGGGCGTGGTCACATCCAGGAAGTAGGTGAAGGCCATTCGCATGCTACAAACAGGCATCTTCTCAAACAGTGTCCACGTTTTGCTGGTACCTGGACATTAAAAAGCATGAGGTAATGATTGAGGATGCAAGAAGGTTTAAGAAGCTTAAGACAAAGAAGATGGCGCTATGGTTGATATTTCCTCTGAAGCAGCCAGCAGAAAATAGCCAAATATACAGTGAAATTGAAACAAAGAAATTAAAGAAATTAGGACAACCTAGAGAAACCCTTAATCAGTGTTCATGGGAGAGACTAAATGTGCTAGACCGGATTCTATCCATGGTATCCAAAGTACTGTATAGGTCAGAATGCAATCGAGGAGAAAACGAGAGTCGTATGTGACATATATCCGAAAATGGAAGAGAAGATGAGAGATATGTGACATATATCAGAAAATGGAGAAGATAAGAGAGATGTGACATATATAAGAAAATTGAGAAGATGAGTCATATGTGACATATATCACATAATGGAAAAGAAAGAGATATGTGACATATATAGAAAAATGGAGGAGAAGATGAGAGACGTGTGACATATATAGGAAAATGGAGGAGACGATGAGAGACATGTGACATATATCAGAAAATGAAAGAGAAGATGAGAGTCGAATGTTACACATACCAGAAAATGGAGGAGAAGATGAGAGTCAAATGTGACACATAACATACAATGGAGGAGAAGATGAGAGTCAAATGTGACACATAACATACAATGGAGGAGAAGATGAGAGTCGGATGTGACACATAACATACAATGGAGGAGAAGATGAGAGTCAAATGTAACACATAACATACAATAGAGGAGAAGATGAGAGTCGGATGTGCCACATAACATACAATAGAGGAGAAGATGAGAGTCAAATGTGACACATAACATACAAAAGAGGAGAAGATGAGAGTCAGATGTGACACATAACAGAAAATGATACTGATGTTAATAATGGCGAAGACTTTTCAACAGTGGCGTTATGTTACAATGGCAGACCTGAGAGACTGAACTGTGTGAAAAGCAGAAGCAGCAGGAGGAGGAGCAGGATGAGCATGAGGAGGAGGAGGAGGTGGAGAAGTAGTGGTAGTGGTGGTGGTGGTGGCGATGGTGGGTGTGTGGGTGGACTTTAGAAAGTCCACTTCTACAGAAATCAGAGACAAATAGTGGCTTACCCAGTGGAGTGGTCACTTCATGCAGGAACTCAGTCCTAATGATCTGATCAGCAGGTGGGGAGTTGTGCAGTCTGGCGAGGATCCCGTCCACGATGTCCGGAGAGTTGGCAGGGTAGACGCCCACATGGTCACCAGGAACGTAAACCAGCTCGTCGGCTCCTTGTGTGTTCATCTTGACCAGGATCGTCTGTCGGCTGTGGAATGGTTTTGGGTGTGTTTAAGACAATATCGAAACAGATGGGCTGGCCACTTAACAACAAATATAGGGTGATAGAGAAACCCGGCAAAACAAATAACAACCACAACAACAACTACTACTACTACTCCTACTCCTACTACTACTACTACTACTACTACTACTACTACTACTACTACTACTACTACTACTACTACTACTACTACTACTATCACTACTACTACTACTATTACTACTACTACCTCTGCTGCTGTTGCTTCTACTACTACTACTACTACTACTACTACTACTACTACTACTACTACTACTACTACTACTACTACTACTACTAATACTACTGCTGCTCATGTTGCTACTGTTACTACTACTACCACATCTTCTTCTTCTTCTTCTTTTTCTGCTTCTGCTTTAGCTGCTGCTGCTTGTTCTTGGTCTTGTTCTCGTTCTTCGTTTTCTTTTTCTTGTTCTGTTTTTTCTTCTTCTTTTTTTTTTCCTTTTTTTTTCTTCCTCTGTTTTTTTCTTCTTCTTTGTCTCCTTGTTCTTCTAAGCAAAGGGTAACAGTGATTGCCCTTTATTTTTGCAGCCAGCTGTTGCCGAAGAGTCTAGCAGCGGGAGGATGGATTTCCTACGAGCAGACAGACTGATGAGGCTGTAATCTCAGCGACAATCAAGACTGGACGTGTGCAGTCAACTGTAAACATGTGTGTTCTGTTATAATGGCAAGATGCAACTACACAACAGAAGAGCCAAATCCGGCAGTAGCGACCCAAGTTGGTCTACAGACAGAGATTGAAAGGCAAATAAAGAGGCCGAAACATTGAAAGGAAGGGGACTCCTTACAATCGGAAAACTCCTGTTGAGTTCGATCCTCCAAGAAGTTTCTTCTACAATGAGTTTATCTGTATCACATCCATTATTTACCAAAGAACCCTTTTTACACCCCTGACACATTTCACATATCGTCTCTCTCTATATTCAACTGAAGACCTAAATGTGTTGTGCCCGTTTACAACATGGCTGCGATATTTGCCCCTTTCGGCTGACACATCCGACTTCTGCAGGTTCTGGCTTTCTGGTTTTTAGCTTTCCGTGCATTGGAGATATAATACTAGACACACATTATCATAAACTTATCGACACCTGGGTGGTGCAGTTATATGTTGTGATCACAATCTACATCACTACACACTGAGCTTCCTCATGTGTGCTCAGTTCTGCAGCAGCCATTCCAGGATACCTCTGCTAAATGTTTCCATGAGGAGTTCAATACCTGAATGTTACGGAGTAATAGGGAATAGGCTTTTATTAAATATGAACAATTTAATTTTAGAACATCAAACATTGTGTGTATGTCACATAGGCAGGGTGTGCATTTCAGAAAGGCTTACGTGTGGCATGACACAAAATAAGAGGTTGATAAACACTGGTTTAGGCACTACGCTAAAACGACTTGAGCCTCTTAAGACATCTATGGTAGAATAAGTTATGAGTTATGAGTTAGAATATCTTCACAGCACTCCAGACACATCCATATGTGCTCAGATTCCCCTCTCAACGTATTCATCAGCTTCACACGGTTAAAAGTGCCTGGCCTATGTTGGTTAACTAGACTTTGTGTGCCTCCAGTATGCTTCTCATACTTGGCTGTGCCGATCTTGACTCCCAATTCTCGCATTCTTAGCAGTGATGTAACACGTTGCTTCCAAAATCCTCAGAACGTCCTATCTCTCCACAAGCAATGACAATGTCTGTGTGATCCATGGACCGGCCATCTTCAACTAATGCATTACCTGTCAGTCTATCAGCTTTTTCATTACTAACAACGCATGCATGCCTTGAGACGAATATGAAGGTAACTGCACACACGGGAGAGTTTTGCAATGACTCAAACCACTGTCTGCGTAACCAGCTTGCTTCGAACCGCCGGATCATGTTCAAAGAATCACTCAGCACATACATGCGGGAATAGTCCAGTGATTCTAGCCACATGAAAGCTTGTGTCACCGCCATCACTTCCGTCGACATGTTGCTGGTAGTCGTGGAGAAGGCACCGCTGGCTTCCTTAACTGTTCTGCCTGAAGAGCGAGTTGTAAATGCACATGCACTCTCATGTCCTCGTATCATTGTTCTGCTACATCCCACACACAACAAATACTTACTCAGAATCATCAGCCTGTAGATTTGTTCTCTCCGTGAGGACACAAGGCAGCACTCTCTTCCCGTGAAGCTTGGACAGAGCTGTGGACGAGTTTACGGAACATGAGCAGGCACGGGAACAGAAAATAACTATCTGTGGAATATGCTGTTTCCATAAAGTCAATAATAAAACAAGATGGAATAGTATTACCACAACCAGCCTTCCAGAAAATGTTGGAATAAGAGCATGTCATAATTACTAAATACAACACAAAATATGACTAGAAAGCTTAAGGGAGGGTGGAAAAGATGCACACATACACAACGGAACGTTTCTACCAAAGTCTTCATCAACGGACTGATAAAACAGCCCAAACTGTGACTAGAAAACGCAAAGGACAAGACGAAGAAGCTAATAAAAAGCCAACATCAAAATGATACTAAGAATAACGTAATGAAGAGGAAAGTAAGAATATAATGGCTATCATACAAAACGAAATAAATAAGAAGATTATGTGAAAAGGGGGATTCAAATGCTATGTGGAAAGAGGGATTCAAATATCAATCAGTTAAATAAATGAATAAGTAAATTAATAAAATTTATTGATCCCTCTAGGACTAAGCTTGGCTCCCAGGTCGACCCAGCCTTGAGTGGGTACCGGGTGCAGTCCCGGGAAGTAGAGGCGGCCGGCGTGATGCTGACCACATCACCCATCTTGTGCCGATTGGTCTATAAAGGCGTGGAAAATGGTCCTTTACTTTTTAATTTACTAGCACTAAGAACTCCCAAACTATGGATGAAACGATTTTCTTGCAATAAGCTGGACTGCTGTCACCACCTATTTACGCAATGTCTGAATTATATTGACAGACAAAGAATGGAATGATTGGTCTATCTATCTGGTGAGAAGGCAGCCAGACGAAACTTCACATGAGATTTTATATAGCAGAACATCGAGGAGGACGGCGAGAGAAAGACCAATAAACAGATGAATAAATGGTCTGTCAGAGAACAGATTCAAATTTCCATCTAACTTTCCCGACTGGAAGAAGGACCGCCTTAATAGTTCACAGCTAGGCAGCGACATCTTCCCCTCTCGGTCACATATCCGATAGCCCTCAGTCAGTCTTATTTTAATACATGCTTGTTCAAGGACCCCGGAACATTCACTAGAACAAATTGTACTTATACGTATGTGGGCGTGTTTGTATGAACATATGAATTTGTCATAATACGCGGTTATGTTTGCACTTAGTATTCATATCAGGTATTACAAATAACCTTGTCACGACTTATAGGTAAAATGAAAACTGCCTGTGAAAGATTAGTGTAAAAGCCCATTAAAATACTTTTAAAAAAAAATCTATTTGTTGTTGGTGGTGGTGGTGGTGGTGGTGATGGTGTTGAAGTACACTCAGTTCATTATTTTCATTTTTATTCGGGTGTAACTGATATTATTAACATGTCGACTTTTCGTTGGCTACTAAAAAAAGAGGGCGGAGCACGTATGGGAATGTCACGAGTGCAGTGATGCCAATTCTTGATTCATTCATTCATTTATTCCTTCTCATTAGCTTTTCATAACGATACATCAAGCAAACACTCCGGCTCACCTTCACAAGTATCAGGCTCTTTGCCGTTCTCTATGGGAGTAATGCGGAACCTGTTGGGAGTCCAGCTATGGTCACTGTTGCTAAGAGCACCGGTGGCCTCGTTAATGTTGACATCATCACCCAGGCAGAAGGTCTCACAAGCGGCCTGGAATGACCCAAGTAAATCAAATAATTTATGTAATTTCATGTGTTCCACTGAACTACGAAGGCTAGTCAAAAATCAGCCTACGACTGGCTGGTGAAAATAAATTGTCATAGTACACCGTTTGCTGCTTGTATCATTCAGTAGCCTTTTACCTAACTGCATGTCAACCTAAATCAGTCCTGGAAATTTATGGAAATTCTGTAGAAAGCTAAGAAATTGGGAAACGGTCCTTTTCCACTTCTTCGACTTTTTGAATGAGCTTATCAATCACACAAGGATGTCATCCTTGTCCACCCTCATCATGCACATCCTTAAACTAATCTCTGAGTTTCCTCCCACCAGTCCTTCAGTGAACAGTCACTCACAATGTCATTACAGTAACCACGACACAATCGACGATCAATCTCATCGGTATTGTGACCTTCTGCTTGGACACCTAACAAGAATGCCCTGGTACTATCCGCCACGGCGAGCCACACTGAAACGTTACAACGGGTATAGAGCGAGTGGAAGACCTCGGAAAATATGGAGTGATGGTATTAAGAACAGCCTTACAGAAATGAATATCAGTCTTAATAGTGCTCTTGACAGAGCTCATCAACGAACATTACATCTCCCCCCGACACTTCGATGAGGTACAAGGTGGAAGAGAAGAAGAAGAAGAAGAAGAAGAAGCTTGAAGAAAAGCAATCACACCACGAACTTGACAACTGGCGGAAAGGGCAAAATATTTGCCAAATTGTAGTAGTTCGCAATTCGCGAACCACTGAACAAATACGACTGTAGGCTGAGCTGAAATAGCTACTGGATAATGCAAGAAATGAACTATATCGTTATAGCAAGCGTTTATTTTTACCAGCCAGTTGGAGGTTGGTTTTGGAATCGTCGTTGAAGATTGGCATTGTAACAATAAATGACATCAGTAGCTAATATTGCAAAAAAAAAAAAAAGGGATTAGTCTGTCTATTGGTCTTCTCTTGCTCCAATTACCTCACTGAAGGTTTGGGGAATAGATGCAATGATATTATGCGTCCTCTTTCTAATGCACTGAAGAAGATTATGTTCGTTTCTTTAATGCTGTTCTTGATGTCGCTGTTCTACATTTTCCGTGATCTTTCTCTTGCTATGTATTTCTTTTTTTTTTTTTTTTATCTAGCGTGGCTCTCTCTGGAAACTTATCAGGGCATTCTCGTCAAATGGCCAAACCATTTCATTTTTTTTTTTTTTTTTTTTTTTTTTTTGCTTTTTAATGAACTGTATGACTGATTAGTTTGTGTAACAAAAAAGAATACGTACTATCCGTAACTTTTGTAATTGATAATCAACGTAACGTGTTACATTTTTATAGTTGACATAATTCGGATGTTCTGAAAAAGCAAAGACCCGACGACAACTTACCACCGACACCAAAAGGATGCACTTTTTTTAGATCCCTTGCGAGAACATAAATACTAGAATATGTAGTGACAGCTGGAAATATTTATGAAAAAAAGAGGCTGATAAAGGCAAACAGAAATTATTCATCACAGGGCTTCCAGTTATTATGGCGGAAAGTCAGGTTGTGTGTGTGTATGTGTGTGTGTGTGTTTGTGTGTGTCTGTGTGTGTGGGAGCGGGGGGGGGGGGGGGGCAGGATTTTGCTTTTGGCAGCTTTTTCCTCCATTTATAGGTATAGTTCTGCCGCCAAACTACCGAGCTGAGTGCTTAACGCAACACTGTGAGCTACGAGTCTTATTGAGAATGCTTTTTTACTGTGACAGATCTGACTCATTTATATGCAGATTATTGGTTCCTTGTCTCTTAAGCATATGCACTCTGACTTCCAAAGAAGTCGACTTTTACGACATGCTTTTTAGGGAAAACAGTGGGTCTATTCATGCCCCCCCACCCTTCCAACAATATGACCTTGAAACCCATACGGTGAGATGCGGATTCGAACACACGACCTCTGGATCTGAGACGAGCGTCTAACCATCACACAACGGCGGCTCCTAAATGTAACACAATATTTAACCCTTTTTTGCAGGTGTAACTTTACCCCTACCTGTCTGAATTATGTAACACTTGAGATTATTGAGTGCTGGATTCTCATTATCATTATCAATTTCCACTTCTGCTGTTTAGAGTCATGGAGAGAAACAGTTTGCGATACATCGCTTGATGGCTAGCATTGGTTACTGACATTCAGTGTTCATGTAAAAGCTCTCTTATGTTATCAATCCATCCTCTCCTAGGGCGGCCTCTTGCTTTCATTTTAAGTTCTTTTATGTGTAGCGCCTGTGTTGGTACCTGCTCTCTAAATGGCCAAACGTTTTGATCTTCTGTTTCTCAATGAATTTGCTGCATGGTGTTGTTCCTGCAGTCTGATAAGATCATTCCTAACTTTGTCTCGGATGATTAAGTTGGTGGCTTTTCTCAGGCATCTAATTTCACAGGTGGTTATTTCACGTACTTTAGCCTTTGATAATGTCTAAGTCTGGCACTAGTAGAACAGACTTGCACAGTAAAAATGCCACCATAGTTGGATTTTAAAGTCTCGAAAAAAAATTATTGGATAGAAGCTTTTTAAGAATTAATAACAACAGAGTGGATTTAGAGAGCAATTGAAAGAGGCGCAAGGAATTAAGTAAATGGCATCACGTCAAGGTATGTAAAAAAAAAAAACATGGTGTTTTGTTATGTGGAGAATGAGTTAACTGAACCAATACTTACCGTGAATACTCCTTGCGCCCACTGTCGAAAGCTCTGTTCCTGCCCACATAGTTCATCTCCCTCGCCAATGGGAAAGATCTTCTCTGCCCCCAGCTCCTGAAGCACCTTGTCCATGTAATGCCCGAAGGCAGCAAAGTGGGGATATGCCCTGGATCCCAGCGCGAACACTGAAAACCTGGGTAGACATTAAATTTCTACTAAAATTTGAATTTCCCGTGTGGGTTTCGTGGCCCCACTGAAGGGAAAAACAAGAATAGACACACAACCTTACTAACAAGCATGGTGTATCTGCCCTTGTGGTCGCTCATTTGAAGTCAGTGTTGTGGTTTGTTCCATGGTGTGATATATCTGTGAGTTCCACATATAGGGCTAGATGTATATTTTATAGACTAATCGGTGCTTGCTATGTGATGTGATCACCATCACGCCGGCCGCCTTTACTGTCCGGGACTTTAATGGTATCCGCTCTACGCTGGGTCGACTTGGGAGACAAAATTGTTTCTTTTAAAAAAAAGTTTTTTTTTTATTTGGACACGAACCCACGAGCTTCGGTACCCCATGCGAGCATGTAGCCACTGCACCACGAAGACTCCCAAGTATAATAGAAATGACCGTTTTCATTCCAGTGACTCACTGGGAATAAGGTCAATCAATCAATCAATCAAGTGCCGTCTTCCTGGCGAAGGTTAGCTGCAATCAATCAACAAAACGAAATGTTTTTCGCCCTACACGTACACTCACTCAGACAGCAGTTCATCAGTATTTTCATTGTATTCTCCCAGTCGTATCGCTGTGTGCATCTTGATCGCTTGTCTTCAACTGTCCCCCTCAAACTGAGTTTTCATAAGTGTCCTATTATGTATTTTACTTCTGTCACTTCTTCTTCTTTCCTCTACTCATGAAAGGCCTCGCGGCGTCAGGGCATGAAGCGATCTCTGGAACGGGGTTTTTCTATTCGCTTTGTATCAAGTAATTGTTATTGTCTCTGACATTTCTGCGGTCCATGTTCTACATGGTTGACTTCTGACTTTGACATCGCTGTATCAGTATAATATTGCTTTCTGTGGTACCCTGTGTGTGATGCCAATCTTGTTACATCGCCAAACAGTTGGATTTATTGTCTACCTATGAAGTTTAGTTTTAGTTCTGTGCTGACTCTCCTCCTAGGTAGGTAGGTAGGTAGGTAGGTAGGTAAGTTTTACCCCACCAGGACATAACGCAAGCGATAAACACACTGTGACACAAAGTGCCACCAGGCGGATGAGGATCACCCGTGGAGAGGTCCCAGAAACCCCGTTCAGCCATTAGGCCATATCTAAGGCCCGGCTATATTTAGGGTCCCGGCAAAAGCCAGGATGGGGTTTCAAAATCCCACTTGGGGAAGACGGTTATGACCAACTCTCCTGCTCATATCGTCGTTCCTAAGTTGATCTTTGTTTGCTACACCCAGCCTAGTACGCAAACATGTAACAACAGACTTACATACTTCATCGCCTTACAGGGGGGCGAACCTAGGCCTTCCTCACGAGAGCCCGACGGTGTAACCGCTTGGCCAGCCGCTCGTATCTGTGTCTTTTAAAATCGGGCATACATTCGTAGCCTCACATTTTCATACTCCAACAGACATTCGATAGGAAATGAGATCCATCATCACATCGCCCGCCTTTACTTCCCTGAATATTTCACGAACCCATTTAAGGCTGGATCTGTCTGTGAGCACGATCAATGACTTACAAACAACAAACAACAACAACAACAACAACAACACATTTGCGCGAGTCACAATTACTATGAAAATAAGCCGACCCAAGTAAATTTGCGCTGAGTTTACCGCCACTTCAAACGGTAAGAAGTTTCATCACCATCAGATGCCTTGCTATCTGACCTGTTCGTTCATGCCTTTAATAAACTTGGATTTCCAACAGCCTGTATCAGTACATGTACCCACAACTACTGTCCATGCCTCGATAAAAGGCTGTCAAGAATATTCTTGCATTGTTTTCCATGTCTCTCTTTCCACACATTTCATGTGTGTATGTGTGTGCTATTGGCCTTGCAGAGACCGCAGTCTGTGTCGTTTTTTTAATAAGCGTCAGCGATGGATATTCCGTGTGGTCTTTCTGCGGCAGAAGGACGGAGCATGACCGTCTCCATTTGATGGGTCATGCTGCTGACGTCACCAAACCAGGCTAACGTATGGTTAGCCTGGTGTGGTGACGTCAGCAGCAAGGCCCGCCAGATAGAGACGGTCTTGAACAGGGCAACTCTGTGATGACCCTTTTGCTACAAGCTGTAACTTCAATAACCTGCTTTACTTGAACCTACTAAACCTAAGTCCGTGTGCTAAATGTAGATGAGGTTACCTGACGTTGCCTAGCGGTCCTGTTATCATTGCCAGCTGGTCGGGGTTGGTAGCATCCAAGCCCAGTCTCACCTCCTTTTCACTGGATATACTCATGCGTACATAGGACGAGTGTGTGCGGCTGTGGTTCGCTTCTCTGATGATGGTATAAACATAAATTAATTATAGTGTAGGTATGTGAGGCTGTGACGGGGGAGGGGGTGTATAGGGTGTTTATGAATGTGTGTGGGAGATGTATGACTGTGTGGGACATGTATGACTGTGTGTGGGACACGTATGACTGTGTGTGGGACATGTATGACTGTGTGCGGGACATGTATGACTGTGTGCGGGACATGTATGACTGTGTGCGGGACATGTATTGACTGTGTGCGGGACATGTATTGACTGTGTGCGGGACATGTATTGACTGTGTGCGGGACATGTATTGACTGTGTGCGGGACATGTATGACTGTGTGCGGGACATGTATGACTGTGTGAGGGAGATGTATGACTGTGTGTGGGAGATGTATGACTGTGTGTGGGAGATGTATGACTGTGTGTGGGAGATGTATGACTGTGTGTAGGAGATGTATGACTGTGTGTAGGAGATGTATGACGGTGTGTGGGAGATGTATGACTGTGTGTAGGAGATGTATGACTGTGTGTGGAAGATGTATGAATAAGTGTGGGAGATGTATGAATGTGTGTGGGAGATGTATGACTGTGTGTGGGAGATGTATGACTGTGTGTGGGAGATGTGTGAATGTGTGTGGGAGATGTGTGAATGTGTCTGGGAGATATTTGAATGTGTGTGGGAGATGTATGACTGCGTGTGGGAGATGTATGACTGCGTGTGGGAGATGTATAAATGTGTGTGGGAGATGTATGCCTGTGTATGGGATATGTTTGAATGTGTGTGGGAGATGTATGAATGTGTGTGGGAGATGTATGAATGTGTGTGGGAGATGTATGACTGTGTGTGGGAGATGTATGACTGTGTATGGGAGATGTATGACTGTGTATGGGAGATGTATGAATGTGTGTGGGATATGTATGAATGTGTGTGGGAGATGTATGAATGTGTGTGTGAGATGTATGAATGTGTGTGGGAGATGTATGAATGTGTGTGGGAGATTATGAATGTGTGTGAGAGATTATGAATATGTGTGGGAGATGTATTAATGTGTGTGGGTGATGTATGAATGTGTGTCGGAGATGTATAAATGTGTGTGTGAGATGTATGACTGTGCGAAGCTGTCGTTTGCTCCATTGAGGATCCTTTAAAACAAGTGATTATTGTTTGTGTGGTGAGTTGTGTATGAGTGTGTAGGGGTGTGTAGGGTGCGTAGAGTGTGTAGGGGTGTGTAGGGTGTGTATGAGTGTGTAGGGGTGTGTATGAGTGCGTAGAGTGTGTAGGGGTGTGTAGAGTGTGTAGGGGTGCGTAGAGTGTGTAGGGGTGTGTAGGGTGCGTATGAGTGTGTAGGGTGCGTATGAGTGTGTAGGGTGCGTATGAGTGTGTAGGGTGCGTATGAGTGTGTAGGGTGCGTATGAGTGTGTAGGATGCTTATGAGTGTGTAGGGTGCGTATGAGTGTGTAGGGTGCGTATGAGTGTGTAGGGTGCGTATGAGTGTGTAGGGTGCGTATGAGTGTGAAGGGTGCGTATGAGTGTGTAGGGTGTGTATGAGTGTGTAGGGTGTGTATGAGTGTGTAGGGTGTGTATGAGTGTGTAGGGTGTGTATGAGTGTGTAGGGTGCGTATGAGTGTCGGAGGCCGTGGTTCTTATCTCTTTAACACCACTGAATTATTATGTGTGAATAAAAAAACAAATTCACATGCACTTTTACGTTTATATATGCACGCCTTGTTTCTCCTTTAACACTCTATCAAGTGTTTCTAGAGATGATCATATTTCCTGTGAGAGAGTCACTCCAGCATCTTGTTGCAACTACAGCCCCTGATTAGGTCAGAAGTATGCTTACATAACACAGCAAGAAACTCAACAGGGGTGATGTTACAACAAACACTAACAATTTTATGTAAATGTACGTGTGAGGAAAGAATGTTCGAAGAGATAAGAATAACTCACCCATTTGAGGTCTCTACTGGCTTCATCTCGTACAGGCTTTTTGCGAACGCCTGGCATAGATCAATCAGTACATTATTATTTGACAACAAATAAATACATTGTAATATATAAACTTTTAGCGTGGTTAGATAAATATGTCATTAAATTCTGTATGTTCGTACTCATACCAACCCTGCATTTATAATCGCAATCATCATAATCACCATCATCTATATCTAACACGCTCCTAACAGAATACTATTGCTATTGTATAATGCGGCTCATCGATTGTCCATTATTTTACTAGTTAAAGGTATTTACTAGAGATGAAGAACTACATGGCTGCGGGAATGAGAGCACACAGTCACTAAGAAAAGAAGCCAGGCTGTTTAAGAAGCGACACTTGACTAGCACGATGGCGACCATTTAAGAACTATCATGAAACTGACCAAAACTCTAGCATCAAACCTATTACAGAAGAATAAAGTATATAAGACATACATCTTTGTGTTTAACAAACATAAGACAACCCAGAAATATGCAATAATGGCGGGCTGTTCGGCTGGCTTGTCAAAGACAAAACAATTGCATATGTGGCACCTTCATCACCTTGAAGCACATCTTCACAGCACGTCGCTCTCATCATAAACGGTCGTAAGGACTTTCTAATTTCTCTGTTCCACTTGGGCGACTGTCGTTTGAAACATTAGGGACTGTATGATTACACTTGCGAGACCACTGTGTTAATATGGATCACTATTACACACATGTTAAACATGGGTAACAGTTATGTAACACATGGGTGAATGTTGTTACACATGAGCGACCATCTCACCTCGCCGTTCTCTGGAGGGTCGCCATTACCAAACGTGCTGGTGACAACCAGAACAAGCGACTCGTGCTCCAGTGAAATGACGTCATAGTCAGCCATACACATCACCTGATGGAGAGAATATCATTCCATGGGTGAGTTCATATGTGTGTATGTGTGAGAGAGAAAGAGAGAGACAGACAGACAGACAGACAGACAGAGAGACAGAGAAAGAGACAGACAGATAGAGAGATCGAATAAATATAACCATTTCTGTTTCTATATTTAACTTCGTCTTCATACTGACTAGTATACATTTCTACATTTGATTTTCTCTTTACAATGGGTCTTCAAATAATAGTCATGTTTTTGAAAAGAGTATTCAAAACTTAGCTGCGTTTTTATTCAGCGAATTGCTAAAACAATTTCAGCTGTAGTTTCAACAGGTTTTTTTTTTCTTTTTCTTTTTAATATCTTATTCAACTGTTCCTAATATGGCCGTGAAAAGCACTGCCACTTAATAAAACAGTCAAATAGGACAACGAACTGATTGTTTCTGTTTAACTTTTATAATAGGGTACCTTGAGTCAAAGACGTTGAAACTTACCTGAAAACCCAGCAGGTGAGACTGACAAAGAAATGATCACAAAGGTTGGAAATCCGAGTCATCAATTTAGAGAAAGGAAAGGTAACATATCAGTCAACAATTGAGAGAAAGGGAAGGTAATATGAGTCAACAATTTAGAGAAAGGGGAGGTAACAGATCAGTCAACAATTGAGAGAAAGGGGAGGTAACAGATCAGTCAACAATTGAGAGAAAGGGGAGGTAACAGATCATTCAACAAAGGGACACATACATGATGCTTTGGTTCTTTCCAGAGTGTATAAACCTCAGAGGTCATTTCCAGTGAAATTTCCATGATGGCGAGAAAGCCACAGGTAATTGAACTTAGGTACACAGTTGAAAGCAGTGAAGAATTCGGGCAAAAGGTCAAAGTTGAATATAATTTGAGGAGAGATACATTGGACTCCAGTGTCGTATATAGCCGAAACAGACAGGGGGACAAGTGCTCTAAGACCACAAGAACGACATTTTGTGGGCGAATAAACATGTCTGGTGATGATGATGAAACTATGTTTGTTTGTTTTAGTATCCAGAAGCCATGAGTTGTTAACCCTCAGGCTCGGTATTATGGATATCGCAACCTTTCGGCCTTGATTCCATTGTAAATACTGTAAATCTGGGAGAAAATATGGCTTTCCTGCCTACCCCCGGGATTGAACCCGGACCACAAGGAGTACGTCACCCAGTCTCCGCGAAATCCGGTTTAGCCAATTCCGCTAGAGAGCCGGGCGATGAAACTATGAAACTGAGTCCCTATTTACGTTATAGAAGTGAGAACTTTGACAGAGAATTCATGAAACCTTTCTGAATATCTTGTCAGATGACAACTGTGATCATGATTCAATTGGGTTGGCTAACTGGCACAAGGTCGTTGACTAGCCGCTGCTAATTTGTAGTCGGCATTTAGTAGGTGGTATCTGAAAAATAGTTGGCTAAGATGTAGTATTATTGTATTTGTGTCTACGTAGAGAACAACATCAAAGAAGAAGATTCTAGGAGTTAATTGTTAGTTTATCGTTGAGTAAAGTAGATTCTGCTTTCAGTTGTAATGAATGGTATGCTGTTGTAATATTTGACGTTTTTAGAGTGATTCGCGACTGGGCTCTTAGTTGTTGTAGTCATATATTACTTTGCTAAACTGATATTACATAACACTATTTTATACCTCCACTGACTATTACCTTGTCGTCTGGGGTGCAGACTAATAACTACTCTCATACGTCATTTTTTAAAATTATTATTCTCATCTCTCTCTCTCTCTCGCTCGCTCGCTCTCTCTCTCTCTCTCGCTCTCGCTCTCTCTCTCTCTCTCTCTCTCTCTCTCTCTCTCTCTCTCTCTCTCTCTCTCCTTTTATATCCCTATTTTCTATCTATCCCTCCTCTAAGTGCAAAACCCAACCGGTTACATTAGGAGTTTTGTCAGTGGTAATTCCAGTGATATTTTCAGCTGCATTTGCAACGCTATTTTAACAGTGATTTATAATTTATCTTTTTTTTTTTCCTTCGTAATTTCAAACATATTTAAGTCTTCATCGAGACGGTATTATAAAAGTGTTTTTTATCTTTATCTACTGCATGAGTTTAAAGTTATAGAGGTCTACCATTGACAATTTTTGGCGAGAGAACGGGCTCACGAAACACGGCTAGCGAGAGAGAGAGAGAGAGGGAGCGGTGGGATGTCCCAGGATATACTAAATCCCACAAGCATGCAGGGTTATTGATGTGCAGAAGGGAGGAAGAGGTGAATAGAGCTGTCGGAAAGGGGAGGGAGGGATCTAATCATACAACTTCAACACAAGAGCTCGTGCAGGGTGATCTAATACTTGAATCAATGGGTACTGCACGTATGTTTATTACTGTGTTGTAATGACATGACAGTTGCTCAAAGCAAAACAAACAGAGAACTGAAATGATTTGTCCACATTAAAAGATACAATATTCTTTTTTTTTTTTTTTTAAATACAGTAAAGTTACAGGCATCGGGCAAGAAATAGACAGCAATACGATTGAGGGGACAACAGCAGGAGATGGACAATCAGCAGAGTGTGTACAGCCAGCAAGGGAGACAACGCATGTTAGAGATCCACTGGATGCGACCTTGAATGTGGAGGTGGTATCTGACTAATCTGTTCTTACCTTGGCATCAAAGGCGTGTTTGAAGATCTCACACAGCGTGTTGGCGAACCTCTCAGACTTGCCGGTCTCTGTGGCGAAGAGAATCACACACTTGACCCGTCGTGCCAGGGCTTTCCCCATCAGCTTGGCTGAGAACTTGACTGCCCTGTTTGGAAACAACATATCAAGTGTTAACAGTCACTGTTGCCACTTTGGATGTTTTACATCCAGTTTTAGATGTTTTTTCTTGAATTTAGATGGCGTTTTTGACGTTTAGATGGTAGATGTATTTCTAGGGGTTTTTCATTTGAAGTGAATTTATCAAATCTAATCTAAGAAACAGGATAAAAACAGGATGAAAATTTGGCCTAATAAGAGTAGGAAAAGGCTGTTCTACTTATCAGCTCCCTGATTGGTATTAAAAGAAATTGGAACAGCTAAAGCATACTGGAGTCATTTTGGATCTGAAGCTTTAACTTCATCATCCAAGCTAAGTTTATCCTGTGGATCTTGTAAGGCAGTCTTCAGATGTTTTCCACGCAAATGTAGATGTTTTTAGATATTTTTTGACTCCGATTTGGATGTTTTTATTTAAAAAAAAAGTGGCAACACCTCATATAGTAAGCCATTAGTAGATGGTGGGGGGGGGGGAGGGGGTGTCCTCTTTAATTAGTAATCAAGGTGCGGAGGCATTCCAGGAGCTTACGCTTTCTTGAGTGCACAATATAAATTATAGCTATCACTATTTTTTGTGAGCGGCTGGCCGAACGGTTGGAACGCTGAGCTCTTAAGCGGGAGACCCAGGTTTGAATCCTGGGTAAGGCTGGGGAGTTTTTCTGCCAGGGGCAAAATAAAACCTCACCTGCACAGTCGTGGCGACAGCACTAGTCATGCGGCAGTTACTTCTCAGCCTCAAAGACCCCCCTGCCGACACCGCATAAGTGGTAATAAAGGCCATTATTGGCCGTTTGGTACTATTGGTGGTGGTGTTGTTATTTTGTTGTGATTGTTGCTGTATGCTGAGTGGCGAATAAATGAAATACAAAATTATATTCACAATTCCAATATTCCTTTCGTTCCTGTGCAGTCAACAAGATATCATGAATGGAAGCCAGACCAACACCTTTGCCTCTCTCATCAACGTTGGCCTTATGTAATCTTTTGGATGTCTTCGTTTCATCAACCCAGCTATTTTGCATTTCAGTACCTTTTTTGTGGAGCAATGTGTCTTCTCAGAAGAGCGCCATCTTCTCTGTCTTATAAATTTTTGGTATTAGATTTGTCGAGATATTTATCTTATTTTTTCACTCCACCTGAATTCATCCCATTTTATGCTCATCATGTTAAATCACGACATAGCTGACATAGTTTTAAGGGGGCCGCGTTAGCGCATTCAAATCCAGCTGCGACTCGCTGCAACCCACGGTCAGGGTTTGAAACCCTGCGGTTCCCGGGGTTCACCCAGCCTCTAGGAAATGGTTACCAGAGTAGGAACGTTGCTGTAGCTACAGAGTTATGTGCGGACGACGACAAAGGCGGACAGTTTCTTATCAGCTGTCCGTACTGGTGGCAGAGCACTTATGGTTTATAACCGTGTGCAATGACGCTGATTCACATCTCCCGACTTTACTTGCACCTTTATAGTTGCATCCTTATACACCCCACGACGTATGCGAAGATTGACGCTCTTGCACATTCCACTTGTGTTAGTGCTCGGAGAGGGTAAAACCTCTATACGACAGGCCTTCTGGCGATGGAACTGGGATACAGGGCGGGCAAGCATCATCACTAGCCACTCACCGATAGATTCAAGCTGTTTTCATGGCTAATAAGACTTGAACGCCAACACGTTCAGACTAAACTGTCAAGCCCTGAGGCTTTTAAAGAAAACACAATTAGCAAGCAATTAACTAAACGTTTGATTGCAAAATAACATTTAAAAAAGATGTAATCGACTAAAACCTCATCGACATTTTTGTAAAATCTATAGCATGTGTCCAACATATGAATGGAAGGACACAGTTCAGAAATGTGTGAGTTAAAAGTTGCAGTGCCTAAAGTTAGTGATTTTATATAGTTTTCAACTGATGCTCTTTAACCCCAATGGAGCAAAGGTCCTCAAACAACTCACGCTAGGTACTACTATCGTTTCTCTTATGTGCAGTTCCTTCAATGTCATCGCCATCTTTCTAACTTCCCCAGCTGAACAGAGATAGGTCGGTGAAGAGGACGTCTTTCTGCTTTCTACGCACAGCGCCATCCTTCTTTTACTATTATTCAGCACTTTATTTTTAATTCACCCCAGAAAAAGGAAGTTCCTAGATTCCGAGAAATGTTAAATATTCTAGGGAGGCTATTAGTTGCAGCTGGGGTTAAGGTTAGGGTAAGGATTAAGGTTAGGATCTGTCAGCCTTGACCGCTTCAGAGACACCGACTAGCTCTAACCCATAACCCAAAACCCTTAAAATATTGAACTTTTTCAGGAACTCTCTAGGACTTCCGTTGTTGGGATGAATTAAAAATAAAGTACCGTGACTCCTCCCTGTCTCATCTCTCTTCTTGATACGTTGGGAATATCTGGGTAGTGTTTGAGACGTTTATGTGGCTGATGGTTTTTGTGTCTTTTTGTTTTTAAAGATCTTGGCTTCCACAACTTCCTTTACTTCTTCTCCTTCACCGGCTGTAAACTCCGGCGAAAAGTTCTGGTTGTTCGCCCATTTCTTGACTGCAGTCCTGTTTCAGAGCCTGGGTGCATCCGTTTGACACATCTAAGCATATTTGTGTGCAGACTGTTGTTACGTTGCACTCCGACTTTGAAAGTAGCTCCCAATTAGTCGACTCTTACGACATCCTTTGGGAAGGCAGTACATCTGTTCTTGTTTTCCCTACAAAGTGCCCCGAAACCCACACGGGGAGTCTCCCACATCAACGTAGCTGAAAATAATTACCAAATACAGTATTAGAAGGTAAATGCGGCCGGTGTGATCTTGATGGCCTCACCACTCGAGTGACACCGGTCTGTACAAATACGAGACTGGCATGATATATTTCGATACACCTTAAGGTCATCCAAGGTTAAACTAACCACGAACCAGTCGGCGTCTGTGGTTCAAGCGTTTCGAACGCGTTTCGTAAAGCCAGGATGCTGGGTACATTAATGCTGCAGGCGATTTGGCAGCAGACCGCCTTGTATTTGTATCCAGGATCGGCGGTTCGGTAATAATGCCAACCGGCTGAAGGTAGATTTGCCTAGAAAAACCAAAAACAGCCTAAAAATGCCGGGGTTGTTTCTGCAAAATTCCGTCAAGGATACTTCATCTTTTTCTTCTTCTTTGCGTTCGGTTTCGTCTCCTAAGATCAGACCATCACGTGGGTCGCCTCTGTGAACTCGTATGTCAGTAGCAGGTCCTTCATGGTTCCCCATAGCTTGCTCTGCACACTTTGCTCTTGAGGCCAAGTGTCTTTTCGAAGTTGTGTGTAGAGTGAGCAGGTCTTCAGTATGTGCTCAGGTGTTTGTGGTCCTGTTTGACATGCACATTGTGGGGACTGTACAATCTGTATTTTATGCATGTGGTAGTTGAGC